TTCGCGGGGTGGGACAGAGTTCAGGCGATCGCAAACATGGATTGAGGGGGCGTGGATTAGCGACGGGTCCCGTTTCTATGGGAAATCGCGGACTATCGCCGCCGAGTGTGGCGGCGCCGGCCGCATTTTGGCGAGGGCACCTCCCCCGATCCAGGGCTTTGGCGACCGCGCGCCTAATCCATGGATCGCTAATCCATTTTTGCGCGCCCCCGACAGAAGACGGTGGGGCTGCTCAGAAGCCCTCGAGGCCTGCTCTCTTCACCCAGCGCGTTCCACCACTTGCAACGTGCCTACTCGCAAAGGGTCCTAACAACAAGCGTCTGCCCTGATGTAAGGGATCGCGAATCCCCCTCGGCGGATCTGGGGATTCTGCGAGTAGTTACTTTTGGAGTAGTGGAACGCGCTTGCCTATCTCTGTGGCTCTGGAGGCGGCCCAGGAGGCTCCTCAGAAGGCGCGGGGACTTCTCCCCGCTCAGCGATGGGAGGTTTGGCAGATCGCCTATTCCTGTAGCTGTGGCCGCCATGGTCCACGCCTCCCGCTGTCACCTCCATGCCTGGGTAGGGGGGTGTGCGCGCCTGCTCTGGTGGCATGGAGGGCACACGACGCCACGGGTTCACCCTGCGAGAAGCATGGCAACCAACAAAAATAAAGAGGGCGCGGGGACTTCTGAGACGCCCTGCCGCCTCTGAAACGGTTGGCGCCCCCTCCGCCTTCTCTCCCCTGTCGAGGGAGGAATAAACCATCTGGACCCGACAATTGGCGTTTACAACACGGCCCTGGGCGCTTACTAAACAGCCCTGCCCTCTTCGATTCCTTTCTTTTGGTGCGTTTACGAAACGGCCTCGCTTGCAGGGGCGGTTACAGTCGGCCCTGATTCGTATATAGGTCGACCCTGGCAAATCATAAGGGCACCCTTGGATCCTGTGTCTCGCGACCCGTGCCTCCCACATTCCTATGGCAGCGTGGCCCTCGGAAGAGTCTTGCGTCCTCTCGCGTGTCCTGCCCAATCGAGCCCGACTGCACAGTGCTGGTTTGAATACGTGCTCCGCGCGCGGAGCATGTATTAATGATGCAGGGATTCAGTAGTAAAAACAACGATGAGTTCATGCATACATTTAATCCTAAACTAATCATGTATTAAAAGTAATATTTTTAAAATCCTTTTTTTTAAATCCCATGTACCAAAAATCCTAAATTTCCAAAAGCCTATATCACAAATCATACACTAATAATGCATCAAAAATCCCATATCTTCCATATCTTTAAAACTCCTATGTATTAGACCTGTACCTTGGGGCTGGATTCCTGGCCCTCCACCCTGGGCGCGCCGCCGACCTCCGGGGCCCCAGCCCACATCACAGGGCCCCGGCGCGGCCCTGCCGCGCGGGCGGCGCGAGGCGCGCGCGGGCTCGAGAGGCGGGGGGGGCGGGGGGCGGGGAGCGTGCCCCGGCCCGCCCGGGAGCAGGGACCGGCCTCCTTGTGCGGGCGGGCATGAGTTTTTTTTTTTTTTTTTTTTTTTTGTTGTTGTTGTTGTTGATATTCTTGTATCATCAAAACATAATGCATGATAGTGTTTTCGTTGCCATATACACATGTTTATAGATACACATTTGTATATATATATATATATTATCATTCTGTATAAACGATGTGTGCCCGTGGCTTGACCCCTTTCCTTGGGCCAGCTTGTCATCCCGATCCAGAGTCGCCGTTTGACGGCCCTGGGGCCAGGAGCGGGGCTCGAGAGATTAGGATCGAGAAGCCACCGCCGTCCGACAAGGCACGACGCCAGAGGTCTGGGGAGGTCCTTGGAGATGTTCTGGACATCATCTTACAAGAATCATACTGCGTGATAGCACGTGACAGTGAAAAATGGGAAGTTGCACCAATCGCAAATGACATTCTTAGATCTGTATCTTTTGCTGGACACCGTATCCGAGCAATACTGATCAAGACTTGCAAAACACACAAGCCTCAGGGAGCCATCGTTCTGGACAGAGACAGCCAAGAGCGCCGAAAGGTCTCGTGTGGGATCTCGAGGCTCGATGGCAGCGAGGGGGGCGATAGGCTCAAGGGGGATGGATGCATCGACCCCCAATCGCGCATTCATCGCCGAGACGGGAAAGGAGGAGGAGGAGGAGGAGGAGGAGGAGGAGGAGGAGGCGGATGAGGAGGAGGAGGAGGAGGAGGGAGGAGGAGGAGGAGGAGGAGGAGGAGGTGCAGGAGGAGGAGGGGGGAGTGAGGAAGGAGGAACGCAGGCGGGATGGAGGTGGGGACGGATGCAGAAGCATGAGGAGGAGGAGAGCGGGCGGGAAGAGGAATGGAGGATGGAGAGAGGGAGAGAGGGAGGCAGTGGTGGAGGCAGAGAGGGAGGATGAGGAGGATGAGGAGGAGGAGGATGAGGAGGAGGAGCAGGAGCAGGAGGAGGATGAGGAGGAGGAGCAGGAGCAGGAGGAGGAGGAGGAGGAGGAGCAGGAGGAGGAGGGAACGGGAATGGAGCAGGAGATCCCTCGATCCCTCGATCCCTCGAGCCCTTCAATCCCTCGAGCCCTCGATCCCTCGAGCCCTCGAGCCCTCGGCGCCGCGTTCGCCGAGGACGGGCGCCCGCGGCCGCAGCTGCACGCGGGCCTGTCCCACAGCGGCAACAGCCTCTCGAGCAGCACGGCCTCCGCGCGGCGCCTCCGCTCCTCTCGTGCTCCTTTCCTCCCTCCCTCCCTCCCCTCGGGGTTCCCTCCGCCCTCCCTCGGTGACTTCCTCCCTGCTCCCTCTGCTCTTCCATTTCTCCGTTTTCTCTTCCCTCCTCCTGCTCCTCCTCCTCCTCCTCCCAAATTCCTCCCTGCCTCCCTCCCTCCCATTTCTCCTCCATTTCTCCTCCTCCATTCCTCCTGCTTGCCTCCCTTCTCCTCCTCCTCCCTCCTCCTCCTCCTCCTCCTCCTCCTCCTCGAAGTCGAGAGGGAGCAGGAGAAGGAGGACAGCCAGAGTAACCCCCCCAAGACGCCTCAACAATGCTGCAGTGCACCCTCCTGCCCCAAGTACCCTTGCCACCACTCCCTACAGGGAGCGCCCTCTTGAAAGGCGAGCACCCGATCGAGGCCTGCCATTCGGGCGAGGGCCCAGCTTGGGCTAGGAGCCACCATGACATCGTTCTCGCCGTGGGTACCGGAGATGAGGTCGGACGGGGCATCGAGCGGGATCCCCTTCCGAACCAGTGACCGCCCCTCACCCGTCGAAGCGTTGCACGGCATTGCACGCCCTGCGGTGGCCAACTCTTTCATATCTCCTCGAGAGCCAGAGCCGCGCCCTTTCACAAAACAGAAAGGAGCCACCCTCCGTCCGTGCAGCCCGCATGGTGTCGGGTGATCTGAGGAAGTCTCCCTCCCTCCGTCCCTCCTCCCTCCCCTTCCTCCCTTTCCTCCCTTTCCTCTTCCTCCTCTTCCTCCTCTTCCTCCTCTTGCTCCTCTTCCTCCTCTTCCTCCTCTTCCTCCCCTTCTTTCCTTTTATCCCCTTCCTCCTCTTCCTCCTCTTTCTCCTCGGCCTCCCGCGCTGTCTCCGTGCCTCCCTCCTTCATTCCTGCCTCCTCGGCCTCACCGTGATGTCTTTCAATTCGCCTTCGGTGGGTGGCGGCATCCGCACCTTGGCACCAGCAGAGCTCCCATCCTCTCCCTCCCCAATCAAAAAAGAGTCTCATGCGCGGGCCGCATTTCGAAAACATTCGCCCTCCACCCTTGTACCTGCTGCTAGCCGTTAAGACGAACGTGGAGGCGAGCCGGCCTCCATCCTTCAAGCTGTTGCGTTTTCTTCCAGTCTAAATGTGCGTGGCGCCAAGGCGAGAGCCGTATCGTGCAAGTCCCCCGCCTTCCATCCCTGAAGCTGTTGGAGTTCTTTTCAGCTCGTGTCTGGCAAGCCGTGAGGCAATCTCAAGCGGAACGCCTGGGCCGGCCTACGGACACGTCTGGTGGCGCGAGAGGGGGGGACTTATTCATCAGGGAGAGGGGCGGATGGATGAGAAGGGATCAGGAGGAGGATCAGGAGGAGGGGGAGGAGGAGGAGGAGGAAAGGAGGAGGAGGAGGAGGAGAGGGAAAGGAGGAGGAGGAGGAGGAACGAAGGATGATGCTGATGATGCTGATCATGTTGATGCTGATACTGATGCTGCTGATGATGATGCTGATGCTGATGCTGATGATGATGATGATGATGATGATGATGATGAGGATAAGGATGAGGATGAGGATGATGCTGCTGAAGCGGATGAGTATGATGCTGCTGCTGATGATGATGTTGATGATGATGACGATGATGATGCTGATTTTGCTGCTGATGATGAGGACGATGCTGATGATTCTGCTGCTGCTGATGATGATGATGAGGAGGAGGCGGAGGAGGAGGATTATTATGATGAAGATGATGATGATGATGATGATGATGATGATGATGATGATGATGATGATGATGATGTTGTTGATGTTGATGTTGATGATGATGATAATGATGATGATGATGATGATGATGATGACGATGATGATGATGACGATGATGATGATGATGATGATGATGATGATGATGATGCTGCTGATGATGCTGATGATGATGATGATGATGATGATGGATGATGATGATGATGATTGATGATGATGATGATGATATGATGATGATGATGATGAGATGAATGATGATGATGATGATATGATGATGATGATGAAGATGATGATGATGATGATGATGATGATGATGATGATGATGATGATGATGATGTGGATGATGGGGGGGGGGGGGGGAGAGGAGGAGGAGGAGGAGGAGGAGGAGGAGGAGGAGGAGGAGGAGGAGGAGGAGGATGAGGAGGAGGAGAGGGAGCCAGAGCGGCCTGCAGCTCAAGGCGGGAGCTTCATTGTGGGAAGGAGTGGTCCTGCATACCTGGGGAGCCCCGAGGACCGCGCGACCCTCCGGGGCCAGAGACTTGGGAGGAGCCGCCCTTGCCGGCCCCACCTTCGGAGTAGCAACCGCCCTGCCTCCGCGTGTGTCACCGAGCGCGTTCCAGTACTCGGAGATTGCCTATTCGCAAGCGTGCGCAAAAAATATGTGTTTGCCTCGATGCAATACATCGTGCACCACTCGCGGCGGATCCAGGCCATTTGCGAGGAGTTACTCTGCGAGCAGTGGAACGCGCTTGTCTGGTGCGAGTGCTGCCAGTGGTCAGATTGGGAAGGCCTTTCGGCGGGTGCCGCCGACCCTGAAGGGGGGCGATGACCGCGACGGCGACGCTGGCGGCGACGACGACGCCGACGTGAGGCAGAGTCCCCAGTGACGCTTCCTGGGGCCTCTTCGGAGCGCGCTCGTATGCCTCTGGCGGGCAGTTTGGTGGTCTTTCGACGACGACGTCGAGTCAAACGGAACAGCGTCTTCACACGCCGACAGGGTCGGCGGATCTTGTTTGGAGGTTCTGAAAGCGAGTGCGCGCTGCGGCAGGGCGAGGGCTCCATCTAGAACGCCACCCGCCCTCCGTCCGTGGAATTGTGGAGCCTTTTGGTGATCAAGCTCGTAAGCGCTGAGGATGTCTCAGGCCAAACGCTCGGTGTGCCTTGACGATACGTCTGGTGGTGCGACACGGACGAGTTCTTTGTCTTGCGACGGATGGGGGAGGATGGATGGGGGAGGTTCGCCAGCGAGAACGTGGAAGATGTGCTTCTTTCCACATGACAATTGTTTTTAGTTTGTGGGGAACTTCTCGTCGCCAGCGCTGTATTCTCTTTGAAAACGTACTTGGGGAGGGTAAGGAGGATGGTCGTCGACAACGACGACGCCGTTCTCGACGTCCACTTCTTAATCGTCCTCGATCCCGACGTCGCTGTTGTCATGGGCGACGTGGTCGACCCCGTTCCCGACGTTGACGCGGGGTCGAAGTGGTCGACATCGTCGACCCCGTCAGCGGAGGGAGTTGGAGCAGGAGAATGATGATGTGGGCCGAGGTTCGAAGATAGAGGTTCGAGTTTCGAGGGAGATTCCTTACTTTCGGCCTCTGGGGCTGCGTTTCGGGCCCCAGGCTGTCGGAAATATATCCGCCGTGAAAACTGCCAGGATGGATCCCCGACGGGAGGAGCTCCAGTGATTGATTGTGAGAGTACTTAGTCGGGGACGGGGGAGGTCGCTGATGATGATGATGCTGCTGCTGATGCTGATACTGATGCTGATGCTGATGCTGATGATGCTGATGCTGATGATGAAGCTGATGATGCTGATGATGCTGATGATGTTGCTGATGATGACGATTATGCTGATGCTTATGATGATGCTCATGATGATGCCGATTATGATCCTGATGATGATGCTGGTGCTGCTGCTGATGCTGATGATGAGTATGATGATGATGCTGAACATGCTGATGATGTTGATGCGGATGATGATGATTATTATGATGATGATGGCGATGATGATGCTGACGATGCTGATGATGATGATAATGCTGATGATGATGCTCATGGTGATGCTGATGATGATAATGCTGATGCTGATCCTGATGATGCTGATGTTGATGCTGATATTGATGATGACGATGATGATAATGATGATGGTGATGATGATGATGACGACGACGAAGATGATGATGATGCTGATGATGATGCTGATGATGATGATGATGACGATGATGATGCTGATGATGATGATGCTGATGATACTTCCGATGATGATGCTGATGATGATGATGATGCTGACGCTGATGCTGCTGCTGCTGATGCTGATGATAATGATGATGCTGCTGATGCTGATGATGATGCTGATGATGACGATGATGATGATGATGCTGCTGCTGATGATGATGATGATGATGCTGCTGCTGATGATGCTGATGATGATGATGCTGACGATGATGATGATGATGCTGATGATGATGATGATGATGATGATGAGGATGATGATGACGACGATGATGATGACGATGATGATGATGATGATGATGCTGATGATGATGATGCTGATGATGCTGCGCTGCTGATGATGATGATGATGATGCTGATGATGATGATGATGCTGATGATGATGATGATGATGATGTCGATGATGATGATGAGATGATGATGAGATTGATGATGATGATGAGAGATGATGATGATGATGATGATGATGATGATGATGATGATGATGATGAGATGATGATGATATGATGATGATGATGATGATGATGATGATGATATGATGATGATGATGATGATTGATGATGATGATGAAGATGATGATGATGATGATGATGATGATGATGAGGATGAGATTGGACGGTTGAGGAGGGGGAGAGGAAGGAAGGGAGGAGGAGGAGGAGGAGGAGGAGGCGGAGGGAGGAGGAGGAGGAGGGAGGACTGAAGGAGGAAAGAATATGAGGGAGGAGGACCAAAGGGGGGGAGGAGTATAAGGAGGACAACGAGGGGGGGATGAGGATGGAGGGAGGGAGGGAGAGCAGGAGGAGGACGAGGAAGAGGTATAAGAGGAAGTGACGGAGGAGGAGGAGGAGGAGGAGGAGGAGGAGGAGGAGGAGGAGGAGGAGGAGGAAGACCAGGAGGAGGAGGAGGAGGGGGGAGGAGGAGGACGTGGAAAACATGCGAACTGTGGACCGAAGTCGACGTCTTCGCTGCGGGAGCTCTGGAAACCTTCTGGAGGTTCTCTCCGCCACGGCTGGACGCAGCTCGA